ATCTACTATCTCTCTAAATTGTTATTGTTTTGTATTTGTTAACTAACTTGATAGTAATAAATTCACTCTTATATCAAATTTACCTGCAATTGAATCTGGTTATTGTTATGATCAATTTAATCAATGTCTTTGCTTGTTTTTTGTCTGCTCTTTCCATATCTAATTTGTGTTTTCTTAAAAAAAAAATCCGAAGATTTCTTTTCATGTCACCATAATGACTCACAAACTTATTCTATAAAATAATTAACTAACCAGGCCGTAGGAACAAAAATTATATTGGAGGAGGGGGGGGGGGAGGAGGAGGGGGAGGGCATTACGAAATAGTTTTAGGAACTTTTTTTTTTCAATTTTTTCAAATCATTTTTCAATCAATTTCTTCAAAATTGTTAGGGGTAGAGGATGGGGGCAAATTTCTCTATTTGCTCCCCCCACCCACCCGGTTGCTACAGGCCTGCTAACTAATGATTCGTGTTGTTTCAAAAGCGAGTTTGAAATTTGAGTTAGAGACTGAGAAAGGCAAGTTGTGGGCTTTAACGCCTACAAAGTCACTAACACTAAAGGCTTAGCTTTAGAACAAAGAGAAAGGCAATCGAGTGAAGTGGTGCTAAACAAAAGCAAATAAAAGAATAGTCTGTGGATTCAAAACTAGTTTTCCGACAAATGGATGAGTTCTTACGAATGTAAATGCCAAGACCAAGCATGTGATTATTGGAGTCTTTACGAATTTAAGGAAGATGGCCATCAAAACTAAGATCACAAGATGAGACAGACTCAAATTAATCTTACAAAGAGCAAGTAGGTCTGATAAACTTTGTAAGAGATTAGACTTAACAGAGGAAAAGTTTCTTCGAAGACCACGAATAATAGTGGATGATAAGTTTAGAGAACTTGGTGATGACAATGGTTTTTTGTGTTTTATAGTCTTTGGTACTTTATTCATTTTTAAATTTGTTAACTTGACTCAAAGCATAGAAACAATGTATTAAAAATACATCTGCGCCAGCCTAACAGATGATGAAGGGGTGCGTGGCTGGTCAACAGATAAAATCTTTTTACCCTTTAAGTCTTTTAAGACAGTAGCCAGATGCATTTAACATCTGCCCAAGATGAGTATTTTTGTCGAGACACTATCTCTAGCCTTTACTCAACCAAGAGCCTTAAGGCAGGGGGTGTTTAAGTCGGAGTTGGCATCTCCTAGCCTTTGCCTAAAAAGCCGTATCATACAAGGCAGCAGGACATGTAGCAGATTGTACTGGATTACATGTTACCAGTAGCACGATAACCTGACTGAATGGCCGGGGCAAGAAGAATACAAAATAGTCTTATTGCTAAACCCCTAATAATCCGTAATATAGTCTTTAAACATCATAAAAAATGCCATCAAGCATGGTTGACTACGGCGTGCATAATACAAATAAATGAGAAAAATAAAGAAAGTCCAAAATTGGTTTTCAATAATAAATAAACACAAAGCAAAACAAAAAACATACAAAAAAGGTCAAAATTATATGAAAACAATTTTCAATTATTACGATTAATATAGTATAAAGTATATATTAATATAGTATAAGATAATATAATATAGAATATAGTGTAAAGAAATATATTATATAGAATTTAAAAATTTTTAGAAAAATTTATATTTTCATGTAATGAGAAAGTATAAAAAATAAACTTTCTTTTAAAGAACTTAAATCTTAAACATATATCATAAAATAAACTATATATTGTTTTGAAAACCGCTTAATATAATAAACTCCAAAATTTATTTAGAATCCACAACGGATTCTAATAAGTAAATCAAAAAGCAGATAAGAGAGGATAATATATTTCAATAATAAACAAAACTAGAGCGCCATTATGCTTTCTAGAATCTTAACAAGATAAGAAATGTGTTCGCGCGTAAAGTCTAAAAATGGTTACTAGGACCCAGTCTTTTTAAACTAGTTTCTACACTCCCCAACTTAGAGATGGCATCTCTAACAATTGTGTAGTTTCATCTTCAATTCCGCCGTTTTTGCGGACACCCGTTTCTCCTGTAAATCGGCTGGAGGTACAATACTCGGCTAAAGTTCCAGGGGAACCAATCGTTTTACATCACGTTTAAAATTTATAGCATTACCATCTTTTCCAATTACGCGTAGCACAGCCCCTCGAACCTTCCCATCGCTTCCTGTTATTTTTTCGATAACAACACCCTTTTTTCAACGGCTTCGAGGCAATTTATCATCGTCTTTAATCAAAACCATATCATTTACTTGAATGTTATTTATAACATCGTATTTCCGACGATTGTAAACGTGGTGTTCTCGAAGTTCATTTAAGTATTCCTTGTAAAATCTTGTTTTAAAATGCTGAATCGATGTCTTTAAATGTTCAAATTGCTCCAGTGCACTGATTTTAACTGTCTGGATCTTCTGTATTAACTGATCCTACTTGACTAAGAAGCCTTCTGCCAACAGTTAAAGGAGATGGAGTCAATGGCTCCACATCGCTTCTTTTAACAGTCATGCTTGTTGAGCCACAAATAACCCATCCCAAATTACTTTCTAAGGCAACTGGTCCATTTACGTATTTCCTGATTATACGACTTGTCATAAATTTATAATAATTATCCATTCCAACTAAAATGTCAATTTCATGATTGTTTCCAGTTAAATCATTTTCTGCTAATTGTAAGTTTTTAAAATAAGGATAAGTTTTTAATGTCAATTTCAAATCTTGATTTTGTAACGGGGAACAAAGGAAAGGTAAACAAAGAGCTTCAATATAAATATAACCAGATTTTGTTTTTCCACGCACACAAATATGCACAACATCTACTGTTTTTAAAACTCCTTGATCTGAAGCAAATCTTTTCATTAAAACTGTTTCTTGTCGTAATACTTTAAAATTTAATTTCTTTCTTAATGTTTCAGTACAATATGTTCTCTGACTACAACAATCAAATAATAATCTTGAAAGTACTTTTTTTTTATCATTCATATTCTTAGTTAAAGCAGTTGCTGTTTGTAACAATATTGTTTGTTGTGAACAGTTGACGTGATTTGTAATAGTTTCTTTCGGCTTGGAGTCATTAAGATATTCTTTCTTTCTTTTGTATTTACTGGAGGAGTTACATATGCTAACATTATGGTTTCCGTTACATTTCACACATTTATATGATACCTTGCAATTTTTAGAAATATGTCCTCTTTCCATACAAATGAAACAGCGTCCTTGTTTTCTAAGCATATTTTTCCTAATTTCTCTATCAGTGACGCTCAGACATTTATTAGAAAAATGATTTTTGTTACAAAAATTCATTTTGAAAATCAATTTCTTCACTATCTGATATTCCTCCAACTGCAGCACAATGTTCACGAGCACAAAGTTCTTCATTAAAAATTTCAATAAGTTCATTTAGGTTCCAATTTTCATGCTTAAATTTTCTTGAGATAATAATTTTTAAATCTGTAGGGATTTGATCGAATAAAATGTTTATAAGGATTGATCCATAGGTTGCAGTTTCCACTCCAAGGTCATTTAGGTTTCTGACACTAGTTTCAAGTTTATCGTACACCATATCGTAGTTTAACCATGTCATCTATTGATTTAACCTTTTGTAATTTGAGCAAGTTTTCCATATTAGTTGAAATTAATACTTGAGTATTTCCAAATCGTTGAGTCAACATATGTATTGCTCTTTCATAATTGCTCGCTGTCAATGTTAATCCAGATATTAATTCGTGGGTACTTCCCTTGAGCAAAGTTTTAAGATAAGTAAATTTCTCAACATCATTTAATGTGTTGTTATCACCGATAGTTGTCTTAAACTGTTCCCAGAATCCTCTCCAATTTAAAATGCTTCCATCAAATTTCTCTAGTTTAATTTTAGGTAAATTGACATTACTTTAACACGAAGTAATAATTGACTTGGATGCAACTTCACCTTTATTTGAAGCTTTTAAAAAATTTTGAGTTCGAGTAATTAATAACTGAATTTCATCCAAAAACTGTGAGCTTTCGTTAATTTCAGTATCAATGGCGTCTTCATCATCAATCATAGTCAAAATTTCATTATCCAATGTTTGTATAAGATTTAATTTTAAAGATAAGTTTTCCGAACACGAATTCAACCTTTCTGAATTGTCTTTGAAGTATTCAAGTTCCTCTCCAATTCTAAGAACGTGTTTCCGATGTCCATTTCTGATTCTTTTCTTCTTATTAAGAATTGCACTCTTTTTAAACAATATTCAATTTAATATTAATCAAGACAAGGTCACCATTTAGAATCCACAACGGATTCTAATAAATCAAAAGGCAGATAAGAGAGGATAATATATTTCAATAATAAACAAAACTAATGCGCCATTATGCTTTCTAGAAACAAGATAAGAAAAAACGTGCTCGCGCGTAAAGTCTAAAAATGTTTACTAGGACCTAGTTTCTACAATTTATTTTGCAATTTATTAAATAAATAAACACAAAGTAAAAATAAAAAACAAACAAACAAAAATTTAGAATAATACAAAGGATTATTTTTTTTTTAATTATTTATTTTGCTGTTTATTTAAAAACCGTAATTTCCTTTCACATAAAATAAAATTTAATTACAAATTTATAAATAATAAACACACAGATCAAAAAAGATATGGATGGCAAAATACCATCCTAATTTTTTTTAAGAGCCCCCTTTATATCATAGCAATAATAGTTAAACACAGTAAATAAAACAAGTAAAAAATTTAACTAAAAAAATATTTAACTTATACACCAATAAATTCACAAATAGTAAAAAAGAAGACATAATATTTTAAAATGCAAATAGTGAAAAAAGAACATATATTATTCAAAAGTACCAATATTCGCAATTTATCAAAAAAGAAGATTTAGTATTACAAAATACAAATAGTGAAAAAAGAAGTTATATTATTTTAAAAAATAAATAATTGCCAATAGTCAAAAAAGAAAAGAAAATACTTAAAAATACAAGTTTACTGGTGAAGTAAAATCAATCATCGATAGGCGAAAATGGATTTCAATTGACGATGGAAAAACTTCTTACAAAACTTCTTGCGAATGTTATAATCTAAATTATTTTAAGAAATCTCAAAGAAATTTATCGTCGTTAAGACTTACGAGATGAAGAAAATCTTTTAACTCAATGTTCAACTAACGTTCGCAAAGTCGGCTTTTATCGTCCAAATAATTTCGAAGGATAGAAACCGAAAGATAAGATTGAATGGTTGAAGATAGACACATGCCAACGACGAACGGTTTTGAAGAAAATTTTCTTCCGTGGATTAATCTTGATGAAAAATTAAATCTTTACTTTTATGACGGCTTCGACTTTATTGAAGATGGTTAGGAATGGATTCGTTGTTCAAACATACAGAAGTTGCATATCGAGTTGTATATGCTACGTTGTTTTACTCTCGATGAATTAAAAAACTTTAAAAAATATCTTTCCAAGTTAATATCGTTACCATTTTTTTTTTGTCGTTTATAAAACGAAAGAAAATTTTGTAGAACTTCATTCGAATTTTTTAATTCTGTTCAACTGTTCAACATGTGTTTATTTGAATGAGAATATAAATAAAAAATGCGATGATTGGCTAAAACGATTTTTTTCCTAAAACTTTAAAACATGATATTCTTATAATTAAATGAATAGCAACTTGATTCGATGAAAGGGCAACAACCATATCTTAAAAACAATAAACGATCCAGAATTATTAAAAAGATTAAAAACAATTTAAAAATGTATTAAGATAATTAGTTATTATTACTTATATTACTTTTAAAAATATTTTTCGTAAAAGATAAATACTAATGCAGAAAGCATTTCAACAGGTTAAAATAGTTTGTTTAGAATGGCTTCTGCATGATTTATCGATCTCAAAGTCAGCACAATTCTTTATAAGTTTATTATTATAAGCATAATTATTAGTTTATTATTATTAGCATAATTCTTTATTATTTATAAAGAATTACAATTTGCACACTTGTAATCATGGCCGGCCAATGACTAGCTGAGTAAACATACGGCTTTTAAAAGAACTGTTGGCGAGTTTATTTTAAGGTAGCATTAGTTTTTATTACGTAACGCGAAATTTAACAATAGACAAAAGAAATTTTATTTTTAATTACGTAACGCGAAATTTAAAGAAAAAGTGTTCGTAGAGTCTTTAATTAATCCATGTATAAATAACCCTTCAAGTCCAGCAAAAGCCGCCGCTCAAAAGAAAAAAATGTTCTCCTACTTACATTTTTAAAATAAGCTTTGCGTTGCGTAATTTGTGGACGATCCCTTCTAATAAATAATGAGTTATTAACAGGGCTGACGGTGCCGTTTTTTGGCGTTAGAAATAGCTAATTTCCAGACATTGTGCAAACGCCAAATATTTATATGTTTATACTTATGTCAAATGAGGATGTTCTACAAAAAATTGCGATGATTGGACTCTGGGAACAAAAAAGCCCCAAAATTTGTCCCCTCCCCTGCCCCAAACGTGAGAGCAACCAGTTGATAAAATATTTTTTGTACTTCTAATATTAATCGTTAATATTAAATAATTTTGTACTAGACTAATATTAATCGATTATTTTTAAATTTTATAGTAAAATATTTTAGCGTTCAAAAATTATGACAATATAAAGTTTTAACCCCCTCAATTTGAGGGGTTTACAAATTTTATATGGACAATTTTTGAACGCTAAGAGATTATACTATGAAACTTAAAATTTATCGATGAATATAAGTCTAGTTAAGAATAATACAAAAAACATTTTATCAACTGGTTGGTCTCACGTTTGGGGCAGGGGGGCACAAGTTATGGGTTTTTTTTGTTCCCAAGCTCCAATCATCGCAATTTTTTGCAAAAGCATCCTTACTTGACATAAGTATAAACATATAAATGTTTGGGGTTGGCACTATGTCTGGAAGTTAGGTATTTCGAACGCCAAAAACGGCACCGTCGGCCCTGATAAATAATATATTATAAATAATATAAATAATATATTTTAAGTCATAAACATTTTTGTAACAATTAAACCTCCGAAATGAAAAAAAAAAAGTATAATAAATGTAAACCACATTTCATTAGATATAAAACCCATTTTTTATTGTGCAAAAAATCCAAAATCTATATGATAAAATAACTTTTCAAAATAATATTACAATTAGTTGAAATATATTCAATATATTTATATTGGCAAATTGATAAAAGTCAGATACCATCAAAAAACAGTTAGATAAGCTTACTCGACAGACAAAAGTGTACAGATGATGAAATAAAATGAATAAAATATCAAACTTAAACCACCACGAATAATCTATGTGACATAATCTTCAAACTGGTCAAAACAAAATGATGTATCTTTAACTGGAGAATCTTCTCTATTGACACAGCCAGTAATCTAAACCAAAAACATTTTAATTTCTTTAAACACATTGAACAAAATATCATCTTGCAATATATAATTACATTTGCCACACAAATGGCTTCATGATACTTCTAAATCATTAGCAGTGATACCATAGCCAGCAATATAAACCAAAAACATTTTAATTTCTTTAGACAAATTGCTTTCAATAATTGGAAGATTATAAAATACATTGAACAAAATATCAACTTGCAATTCATAACCACATTTATCACACAAATGGCTTGTATCTTAGTTTGAATATTGGTATCATTAGCAGTGATACCAATTTTTATTTAAAGTTTTGTTTTTTTAATGTTAACATTCTCTAACATTTGCTGAACATTTATAAAATAGGTACCACCTGATCCTTGTCAAAATTATTCAAATGCGTTCTCGATTGGGTCACTAGTAAAATGTCTAAACATACTTATGACTTGTGCTTAGTAAATATTTTACTAGTTCAAACATACCATGACATGTATGAGAAAAAGCACAAAGTCTCTTTGGTTAAATTTTTTAATCTATGAGCTTGTTTTTAGGAGCCATTTTTTCAACCATATCAGCCAAATTTAAAAAATCGTTTATCATTGTTAGATGAAAAAACAGCACAATATTTATCTCTAGTACAAATATCTTCATTAAGTCCTTTAACATTACCAATTTTAAAAAATTTGATAAAAATAGATAAAAACACTGTGGTGCCTTCGACATTTTTATTAAATCTTAAACAAGTTGAAACATTTTGATGTTTAATTGGTTTAGGAAAAATTGCAATTTGATTAAATTTAGACAATTTTACAATAGCATCATTTTCAAATTGAAAAACTTTTTCAAATCTGACCATTTTGCATTTCTTGAAATACCTTTCTAAGTATAGCATAGTTCTTGGCATTTTTCTGTGAGCCAATTGTTGCGAATAGATTTTATTAAATGAACAAAGCCATATAGAGCTAAAATGTTATCATTAGTGCACCAATTATCACAGAGATTAAACATTCCAAAAAACTTTTTATTTATTTTGTTATTGTTGCAAAGAATAGCAACAACATAATACAATTTTTTATTGTTTGATCGTATTGAAAATTAGCATCTAAACCTGTTACTGGTAAAGCTTTATACAAAAACTGTTTTCCACTAAATAAAGAACAAATCATTTAAGCCAAAACTAATTCATTTAGGGAATTTACAGATTTACCAAAAATGTTACCTCCTTGATATGTTAACTTGGTTTAACATAAATTTCATCAAATAGTAGAATAACCTGTTTTTGAGAAATTTATCATTTTGTCAACTTATCAAAAAACCTTTGTCAAGATACAACTTTAAAAAATCGTTATCCCTCTAACTTTAGATGTCAACTTTATCATCAAAAATATACTTGGTAGTCATCACGTAATCAAGAGTAAAGAGTTCTTGACAATGAAAAGTACTCAAATGCGATAGCAACCATATCAGGAGAATACTTTTTTTCACCAACCAAATATTAAGAAGTTCATACTTAACATCTGTTTAATAATACTATTCTTGAGATCAATTGGTAAAAAAATTCAGATAAGGTAAGAAAAAGATCGTGCACTTAACACCACAGTGATAGCTATCAAAAGATAAATTATTTTTAATTTTCAAAATAAACATTGGAACACCCATGGTAGATATTTTGCCCTTAACTTTCTGTTAACTCGAACTTTTTCAGTCTTTTTTTTATAGATCTTCACAAATAAAAGTATCTGGAATATAATCTCGAGGTATAGCACTTATCCATCTTATTCGTTCATCCACATTTTTTTTACTTGGAAAGCGAAAAACTTTCACAGACTTTGTAACACTGTAGTTATCTTTAGAGGTAATGCAGAGCTCTGCATCCAATGACACAACACTTAAAAACCATATTCTACAAATCAAATTATTTAGCTCTAAAAAAAAAGCAAATTTAATATACATAAAATAAAAACGTATTGCATGTTAAATTAAAAAACCACCTACTTTTACTTGAACGCACCATATTGCAAATTATTAATTTGAAATTTATAAAATTAAAACTCGCCTACAGTTTATTATAAGCCGTTTGCTTACTTGGCATGCCACTATAGTAGGCCATTTGCCAGTATAGTAGGCCATTTATGTAATACATTTACAAAATTCTATACCAGTGCACTGGTACCTAGTTTTACCTAGTTTTCTATTTCCATTTAAAATAAAAGTGAATTTTGTGATGGTTTTCTGAGTTTAAAATAAACGCAGAAATTTGTGTCAAATTTTAGGGGCGCCAATTTACTGACGTAGGGAGCGCGGTGCGGGAGCTCACCCCCTAGCCTATTGCCACTTTTTGTTTTAAAAAATTATCTCTTTTAATCATAATGTACACAATCAATGCATTTTTAACATAGTTCGGTGTATAAAAACTACTGTGACTGAACAGTGACAGATGTTCATAAAACTTCAATGAATTTGCAAACGGTAAACAACTTTTTTTATAAAAAATTATAAATAACTGATTTCAATATTGTCGAGCAAATTAGATTTGTTTTTATGTGTTAAAAATGTATTGCACCCCCTCCTTACTTAAAACATACTTGCCTCCTTACTTAAAACCTACTTTCAAAAATGTGTACGCATCAATATCTCCAGCAGTAACAATAATACTACAAAAGAAAGACGTACATCATTCTTAATAAAGAAATAGATTGCATGTTTTCCCAACTTGTCTATACTCTACAAAATTGACTTGACTCTTCTTTTTACAAAAATAAAGTTTCTAGGAGTTAATGTGCCACTCCCCAAACTCCTGTTGCCCCCTACTCATTTCTCTGCCTTCCCCCCCCCCCCCCCCTTCACCCTAACGACGTTAGACCTCACTGCTCTACACACATATGTTCAATCAATTAGAGCTATAAATCTTCAATATAATGCATTTTAAGATTCAGTTATGAGACTGAAAGCTTCTCAAGTTAAATTCAAATAAATTACAAAAAAATTTCATTCATAATACGAGTAATCATAAATTTATCTATAAAGCAAATTTCAAGCAACAAAAAACCCTAAAAAATTAGTTTAAAAAAGCAAAAGAAAAAAAAAAATAACACCAAGAAAAAAAAGAAAAAAAAATCAAAGCTAATAATATTTTAAAAAGTAATTATAAACTTAAATCTTTCTTATAAAACAGAACATTGGTAACTTAAAAAAAGTTTTGCAATTTATCATTTATTACACCGTTTTGGATTTTTAATTTAATTTGGCAAAAATAACACTTCTATCTCATGAACAAACTCTTTATTCTCAAATACAAAAGCTAAAAAAAAACTGCGTACAAAATTATTTCTCTTCTTTAAATACTTATCACACTATGACTTATCGTCATAGTAAAAGGATGGGTAGGGTTCAAGATAAAAAGAACAAAAATTGGCATGGGGGAGGGGGGATCATCAGAAAATAATGTTATGTTATAGAATTTTTTTCATTTTAATTTTAATAACATGGACTATATTGGCCTAAATATACCTTTTTTGCCTTATTTATTCACTTATAATTTTTTAATTACTTTAAAAAGAGCATTGTTAAATTCAAAAGCTCTAAATAAAATAAAATTTTATTTAGAGCTAATATAAAATTTTATTTAAGCCTCTAAATAAAATTAAATTTTATTTAGAGCCTTAAATTTTTAGAGAATTGTTAAATGAGCTTGGTGCCAAGCTCGAAAAAGAAAGGCTAAGATATTAGCAGAATTGCTTCATATACTCGGTTGATGCCAAAACGGAGCAAAATATTTGAAGGAAAGAGACACGTTCACGCGGTTACAATCAAATTGATACTAGTCCAAAACAATCATCATTGAAGTCACGTGGATGATCCTTTTTGTACAGAAACTTTAAGGAATGTGGGAAAAGTTTGCTCTTTTTTAGGCCCCAAGGATGTGTGCTTTTTAAGTCAAGACAATAAAGCTCGTATCCCAATTGTAATCACCATTGCTAACAAACAAGCTCCTATATTAATGCATAAGGAATATCAAGTTTCTCATTCTGATCATGATTGGTTCATAACCGCAAACCACAAGCTCATCCCATTTCTCTACGCAGGCATTGAAATCAAACCAGATAAGACTTTTAAATTTGACTTTAAAATCACGTGTTAAACTCTAGTAAAACTGCCCGTAATATACACGTGCTTTTGGTTTACGCCTGGATTGTGCCTATATAGGTTTTATTTCCGAAAAAGAAACTAGATGTGCCGATAGGAAAGAGTCTAGATCCCATATAGACTCTTAAGGAAATTTAAAATCAACTCTTTATCCAAATAAAATATATATAGCAAGATTTAAGAAATTAGTTATTTGGATTGCGACTTAAATTTAAGGTAGGACAGTGGATCTTCCTTTGGAGAAAACAGAATTTTGATTTCGCTGGATAGATCTGTGCCTCAGGTCTGATAATTGATCAGTTTCCAACAGTAATTGAGTTTTTCAATCCAGACAGCAAAACGGAGCTCGACGCTCATCATCTATTATCTAAGGATCAGGAATGGTTAGCCTCTTATTTGAGGATCATGAAATGTAAGAATCCCAGATGTTGTTCTTTGAAAAGAAGTTCTTATTTCCATTTTTTTCCCGGTCAATTCTTGCCTCCAGTCTGTAGTCATTTCAGACGTCACCAGCAAGAATCGTTTTCCTTCTGTATTTTTTCTTATCGCCTCCAAATTCCAGAGCACCATTCCTCTATCATTAAAATCAGTCAAACTTTCTCCTTACAATATTTTTAAAGTTTTGTCCCTCAAATTTGTGCAATCAAATTTATCTTAGAGTTTCTGTAAGCAAATTTATCTTAGAGTTTCTTGTAACTTGTACTTTGCCTACCAAATCGTGTATAAAAAGAATGTCAGCATTACTCAATTTTATTAACCACATGACGCTTTTGCGAGTTAGACCTGTTCGCATTGCGGCCAAGTGCAAAAAATGGCCGTAATTGCGGTAGAAGAGAATGCGAAAACACAGAAAAATGTAATTCATGTGGAAAATTTCAATAAGAATGTTTAAATTAAGAATAAATTTTGTATTAGAAAATAAAGAGAGGGATCCCAATTTTATGACATCCTTTTTAAGGGGGTATAAGAAAAAAAGACAACCAGTGACAAAAGAGGGAGAGGGGGTCAAAAATTGTCAAAAAAATAGTGACTTCCTTTATGAATAGCGCCCGTGCCTGCTGGGTTATCAGCATTTTCAATTTCTAAAATAGGTTCCCAATTTCCCAAAGAGATCGTTAAAATTCAATATAGAAGTATTTTTAAACATACGCTTATTAATTTTTACTTTTTCCGATATTTTTTAAAATGCCTTTTCTTGAGAAGTTATAAAAACTGGAAAGTAGTCTGAGATTTCAGTAATATTTATTTACAGTATTATTTTTAATGTTTTTGAAATTATTCATTATGATTTTAACTATTTTTTGTAATGCGAGTTGGTTTGTTATTGTTGGAATGAAACTGCTTCGAAGCATGTTTGTAAAATTTCTGACGTTTATATTTTCATAATCAAGCAATACTATATTAATATTGCCCGCAAAACAAATGCATTTGCTAAATATATCCTTTTTGGTTATTAAATATTCGAAGCATTTGATAAATGATTTCAAATTACCTAAAAGCGGTCTATATGACGTGCGAAATTGCTTTTAAAACTTACGCTAGAAATCTCCAGCGTAAAAAAGTACGTACGTGAATAATTAATGATTAAAACTAATACTTTTGTTTTGAATAATTTGTTTTAATATTTTTGAAGTTAACGTCTCTCTAACTAGGAGATTTTAAAGTAAGATCGCTTTGATTGCTTATAGCGCAGATTTTTTTTGGAATTGAAATTGTTCTTGAAATTAATTTTGGAAATAGTTTTAACTAAAAATAAGTCGTGAATATTTAATGACTTAAAATGCGCATGTTGAATGTTTTTCACGCTTAACGTTTTCACGGCTGTAAACTTGCTAGCGTTTGTACTAACACCGCCTGGAGATAACGCGTGTATGCTTATATTCACTAAAAACTCATAATCGTTTGTTATTGAGCACAATTTTTTACGTTTAAAATGCGAAGAATCGTGGATAAATGCACACTCTTCCGCTTTGTTTTTCAGAACCTCTAATTTGATGAATAACAATATAATTAATACGTTGAAAGTTAAAATTATTTTCAATTTCTCGTTTCCGTTAGACATAATTTGAAAACCTAGTTTGGCGCTAGATAAAAATTCTTTAACTTTATCAAAATTTTTTGCATGCTCCTAATATCTAGGTGTAGAATGGATAATATCTTGGTGTAGATTGAAACGTTTGAATCATAATAATAAGAGCTTATGTTTCCCCCCCCCTCCCCCACCTTATTAATATCTAAATCAGAGTGATTTTCTGCACATATTTTTTATTAAGAAAAGCTCAACTCTTTTATGTCATTACTATTGTAAGTTATATTTTTAGTATTAAATTTAGCTAATAAATTAGTTTTCATTTTAAAATGAGAATTAAAACAATAGAAATAAAATAAAAACATGAACAATACCTCGTTCCTTTTTCAGCTGTTCTCGAAGCTCTTTTAGTTTCAGCGGAATAATCTTAATTTACGTAGTTAGTTTTTTCTTTCAGAGTTAAAAATCAACTTTTACGTCATTATCTTTGCCGCAAATAACTATTGTTTGAATCGGTGAATGATAAAAGGGCGGAAGTCCAACAATGCACAGTTGGCCAATAGGTGGACAAAACTATAAAAATCAATGTTTAAAAGCTTAAATTTTTTTAATAAAATTTTGATTTAGATATATTGGGCAGGCCCGCCGCGATTCTTTATGACGCCCGGGGTCAAAACTTATCTAGCGCCCTGTCATATTGATCTAATTCTAAAAAGTTTTGGTACTGACCAAATACTGTCTTTTTTTTCTTTTTTTTTGACTAAATTTACTTTTAAAGGCCGAGGGAGTAAATACAGTCGAGGAAGCTTCTATTTAATTTTAAAATAAATTTGAAATAAAAGTAAAAAAGAAGCACAAGATGACAAGTTACTGAACTTTATTACATTGCAAGTAACTATGAGTTTTAAATGTAATAGATATTCTAAATGCTTCATGACAATTTGACTCTACGGGTATAATTTAAAGCAAAATTTGGAATGACCTCGTTGTAGCACAGATTTTTTGCAAGATCGTATTCAATAAATATAACTAAGAAATTGGTAAGCCGGTCTTGACTTATTTTAGATCTTAATGTTGTCTAGACCAAGCTTACTGAAAAATCTCTCTTTCGGCAATGGAAACGAGAATCGTGTTAAAAATACGTAACAAAATGCTTATTGATTCGAAGATAGACTCTAGACCTTTTTAATAGATTCCATTTAATAGTTTCATTGAAGTGAGATATTCTTTTGGACTGAAAAGCTTGGCGTGCTTCAGAATATCCAGATGATGGACCTCTAAAATTAGTTTGTCTTCATCTACATTGTTCACATAGATTTGCGCCAAAGTTTTACATTTCTCCTCCAGGCTAGGTGGTTCAATTTTCTTCACTCGACCTACTATTAGATTCCGAGAACCATAGGAAGGAGAAACTGTCATTTTTTCTGCAGCTCGAAATCTGTCTCTAATTTGTTGGATTAAAGTATTGAAAGCGGTGTTCTTCAGCCATTTTTCTTAACGCCTAAAGGTAAAAATAATCAAAATCGACTTTTTTAGAAAATAGGCTTTTTTAGGTGCCTGCAAAGGTTATTGAATAATTGTTTTTAAAGAACTTTGAAAAAGTTCATACAAATTATAATTTTAAAAAAATGTTTTTACAAAATTTTCTTGTATAATAATACAAGAAAATTTTGTAAAACGTTTTTTGAAAATTATAATTTGTATGAACTTTTTCGAAGTTCTTTAAAAATAATTTTTAATTGCGTTTTTCTCGAAACACGTAAAAAGCATCTAAAGATGTTTTGAAAAACGGGTATACGTTCACCTCAAACTACTTTTCATCGTTTTCTTAGAAATGAACTTGCTTTGTTTTCTTAGAAATTCCTTGCTTCTTTGTAAAAGGCTTTCCTCTTCCTTGTCCTTTTTTGAACTAACTTTGACTAAAACCCATAACTAGCTAGACCGGAGGTAACCAAATGTGCTTCATTAATTAATTCGGAATATCTAAATTCATAAGATCCTCGATAGGAACCCTAATAAGCTTCATCTTTTCATCTAAAGTAATGTTTCCTAATTGAAATGACACGCTGACAATTGCTTGGCGCTCTTCGAACCAGAAGGTTGTCATGATAATAAACTCAAATGAACAAATCTATTTCTCCAAAGATTTTACGTCATTCAGGCGTTCCGTCAACAAGAATAAAATAGGTCACCGTCCACGGTGCATCATTAATGATGGACGATTCTTCCGCACTTTTTTATAAATTCGTTTTTTGAACTCCAACCCAAAATATGCACAATAATTTGTTTACCTTCATGTTGACCCCAGGAAACCTCTTTCTAATGTAACTAAAGGATCTTGTTGTGCTTTGCGAGTAGCTCTAGAGTTGCAAGAAAATTGCCGTTATCGTCATCATTGATCATTTTTGAAGAGTCTAAAACGACGATTTTAATACATACATGTAATAACACATGTTTACACATATAAACCATGACTTTCTGTTTAATTATAATAAAATAAACTATGACAAATATAGATATAATAATTAACATTCACTAATATACCTAAAGCGTGATGCTAAGAAGAGAGTTATATCTAAGATGCACTTTACAATTTTATGCTGCCTGGCTGCCTCATTTCTTATCAATTTTTATAAACTTGAATCAATCTCGCGCTGGTTTCCCTTTTAGCGCTGTTTTCCACTTAATGTAATAGTCTCGATGGATTGTTTTGGTGGTATTTTTTAACTGCATTGATGTTACCACTCCACATTTTTCATATGTGCGCCCCTTCTGATCCTGCGCCCAGGTAAAAAGTACCCAGTGACCCTCCCCACGCGGCGGCCCTGGTATTGGGGACCTCAAAAGTATTTGAAATAGATATTAAAAGAATATATTCGCGGAAAAAAATCATATTCAGTAAAGTTTTTCCACAAAAAAAATAGCGATAAAGTGAAAAAAATGTAGTTTTTTACCATGCAAAAGTGTAGAATAAATTTTTAATATAATAATTAAATATTTTTATTAACTGATCAAATACTTGTTTTTATATAAAAATTTTATAAAAAAAAATTTCAAAAAAATCTTTAAACTAGTTTTGAATATAAGGGTAGCAAATGTTCTATTTTCACCCTTCTTTTTTTGAAAGGATAACAAGGAAAAATTTGTGCTGTATTTTGCCCTTATCTCTTATACATATTTTGAAGGCTCTACATATATGCTTTCATAAAATTATTTATCTAGCTGCTAGTATCTGCTACTTTTTTTAATACTTACTGTAAAATGAAAAATTTTTTTTACTTCAAGTTTTTTTTTTTAATTTTTTTAAAAGTCATTTTAATTTTTAGTTTAACACTATTATTTGTAATATGTCAACATGTACAAGATATCAAGTTCATCGATTCATAGGACAGCATGGTTTATCTATGCCCAATCAAAAAGACAAACTCGATGTTCACATTTTTATTTGTGAATACTTTTCTCAATTTGATATTCAATTTGTAACTTTTTTTCCAAAGTATTGTAAACTTTGGTCTTTAAATTGAAGAGTTGACGAAAATTCTTCTAACCTCATTCCTAACTCCAACCTTAGAAAAAGACTATTTAATCATCAAAAAATTAGAATAATAAAACAAAATCTATAGTTAGTAGTAAGCATGTGATATCATTTGAAAATTCATCAAATAAGACAAAGAGTCGTAAATTAGCAGCTATCGACTTATTAATTAGTTATTTAAATGAACTGTAATAAACTGGTAGTTGTAATCTTTTTAAAGATGACTGAAGAATTAATGTGAAAGTAATTTAAAGTTTATCTGTTAAGCAGCCTTCTGATTCAAAACATGCTCAAAATACTCTAAAAAAGCTCTAGCACTCATATTAGATAATAATATGAGCAAATCTGATTACTTACACTTGAGAAATAATGCTGTTAGTAAAGGTTGTAATCTCTATTCTGCATAAAAATGTTCGTGCTGGTAAATAATAATGTCGTGTTGAAAAAACATAATGAACTATTAATAGTTTTTCTGAAAAAATAAACTTTCAATCATTAGTTGATCATTCAACAATGCACTTAAGACAGCAGAAACAAGTTATCAATTAGAATGCAGAAAAGTTTGCTCTAATTCTTGAACTTGATGTCAGTACAATAAAGATGTTACATGTTGTTTTGTGTACATTGTTATTTAGCTTTCTAATTGACACTTCATTATTTAGGGAGTTTTAAGCTTCTTGTGCCTCTTTAGTAAAGAGGTAAAAGAAGCACAAAATGAAAACTTAAAGAAGTTTTGTGAATCATTTTCCAAAAAGTGTTTGCGGTCAAACAGAAAATGAAGATTTATCAAAGCAACTAATATGTTCTTTTGAACCTTTGATAAGTAGTTTGAGAAAGTCATATTATCCTAAGTGTAATGCTTTTCTAATTGGTATTCTAAATGTACTCAAAGAGGTTCCAATTTTTGACTAACTATAAATTGCAATTGCATAGTTTTGATTTTATTTGGTATTCAAGGTGTTGTTTACTTTTTAGTATTTATTATTTTATAATAAAATAATGCATGTTATGTAAATAAACGTTTTTTTGAATATACAAATTTGCTTGTACTCTTACATATACTTTATAAAGTATTCAATAGCTCTAACTGTATTAACACTTGTTGATTTTTATTTAGTTGCTAAGGACATGTGAACTACATAAATACAATTGATTCGAATTTTATTAACTGTGTCTATAAACCCTTAGAGGTAGAATTGTTTTCAAAGTTTTAATTTCATTTTTAAATTAAAGAAATTTTGAATTAAGCTTCATAAAAAAAAACTTGTTTGTCGTTGTACTATTATATTGTAATAATAATAATAAAATAATAATAATAGTTACCTTTCACAAATTTACAATAATAAACTATATAAACAAGGTAACTGAAAAAAGATCACGAAGATTTTGTCATCAGAACCTAAAATAAGCCGCTTTTTTTAATACATCAATAAACTTCTTACAATAACGAGATAAAATAAACTTATAATCTTCTTACAATGGTCAGTGAAGAATGCAGGATTTTTTGGTGATTGAGATAAACTCCAAACATTAGTATATTTATACTTGTGTCAAATAATGAGGATGTGCAAAAAATTGCGATGATTGGGGGGTGAGAACAAAAAAGCCCTTTGACTTCATCCCCCCCTACCCCAAATGTGAGGGGTAACAAGTTGATAAAAAAATTTTTCTACGATTCTCAATTAGACTCTTATTCATCAATAATTTTTAAGTTTTATAGTCTTATCTCTCAGCGTTCAAAAATTATGACCATTTAAAGTTTAAACCCCCCTTAATTTGAGAGAGTTACAAATTTTATATGGTTATAATTTTTGAACGCGCAGAGATAATACTAATAGTATTATTTGAAATTTATCGATGAATATAAGTATAATTGAGAATACTACAAAAAAATTTTTATCAACTTGGGATGAAGTTAAAGGGCTTTTTTGTTTCCAGCCTCCAATCCTCGCAATTTTTTCTACAGCCTCATTATTTGTTATAAGTATAAACATACTAATGTTTGGAGTTTGCTCCATGTCTGGAAGTTAGTTATCCCAATCACCAAAAAATCATGGATCCGTCGCTGACAATGATGAAAGAAAATAAACTTTATAAAGTATATAGAGTAATACAAACAAAAATATAAACAAAGTAAAATGACTTAATACAAACAGTAAAATAAATTGCTTAGAAAAAATTAACAATTTTAAAATGTTACTATTAGTAGTACATAAATACGTTGTCGGTTTAGCTATAAAAACAATGTAAGAAGGAGGCAAATCAAAATTTTGCAAAATAACCTTGTTCCAAAGACAGGTTTTAAAGTAAAGATATTTTTTAAAAACAGTGGGAACTAAATTATTTTTCCACATATATACAAAACATAAGATATTGAACACATTTAATTTATATATATTAAGTAATCTCATTTCATTAAAGGCTTCGAATGAGTAAGACGATCTACAAAATTAATAATATGAATTGCGTGCTTCTGACGGTTACAAAGATATTTCAATCTATTTTTATAAGTACTTCCTCAGGCAATGTTTGCATAAATTAAATAGTTATGGATAAACGAGTAATAAAGTTGGGACAAACTCTTTTTATTTAAATAACCTCTGGTTTTATACAAAATTCCAATATTTTC